AAGGATGTAACTCGCCTTAGCCTCAGACTCCAGCTGAGAGTCTCCTTTTCCCGTCCTCCTGCTACAGCTTAGCTGTCTGCTGGACATTCCTCCTTCTCATCTGTCACAGATCGCTCCAATATCTAAACTTTGTTCGTCGATGTCCGTCTCACTGTTTACCGACACTCGTGCAGCTTCCTTGGTCCCTCAGCAACAAAACACCACCGAAACTATCCTCAATGTGAGATTTCCACCAACAGCAAAGAGATCTCGTCATCTCCTCTCACCGTCTCAGATCTCAGAATCACGGTTTTCACAGTTTATCTGATGGTCTAAGAAAGGCAGTCTCGTTATTTTAGTACAACTCTAGTTTAACTTGTGATTTTAACTAAATAAACTGGTGTGTAGTTCATAAACCAAAACTCAGAGAGGCGGAGTCTCGCTGCTCCAGCATCCCAAAGGTGTATTTTCATTGGTCGATTACAGACGGGAGTCATAGGATTTCCAGCAGTGCTTGAAGACCGTTGAAGGCTGAGTTCAGTCATGAAACAGCTCAAAACGCTGTTGCAGAGTCGGTCTCACTGGAAAGCCATACACTTTAAATTATCCTCTGATTTGCCGTTTTTTTTGGGTTTTTTTTTTGTCACAATTCTTTTCACAACTAGGGATTTGTCTAGGACAGCACAAAATCACACACTGTGGTCCGGGCATTAGGCCTGGTTCTTACAGCAGGACTCTAAAAATGTCAAAAGCTTTTCAAAACAAGAGAGACCGCACATCTGGAGATTTAAAAAATCACGGAAATTAGTTTTTAATTCCATTTTTAGTTGTTTTTTATAACACAGAAAAGGTTTTTACCTTGCTAGCGATTCCTTTGCTGACTGTAAAACTTCCTCATGCTGACGCTGATGGTGGCGTCACTTCCTTCTCCGTTTATCCGCAGGCAGCAGAGGACGTCGTCGCCCTCTGCTGCCCGCTCTCCCCTCTCCGATGATGCAGTCCCATGCACAATCCGATGTGTAGACCCCATCGTCTCTGTTCATGGTCTCACATCCATCCATTTTAATCCGCTTATCCGGAGTCGGGTCGCGGGGGCAGTAGCCTAAGTCGAGAGGCCCAGACTTCCCTCTCCCCAGCCACTTGGGCCAGCTCCTCCTGGGGAATCCCAAGGTGTTCCCCGGCCAGGTGAGAGACGTAGTCCCTCCACCGTGTCCTGGGTCTACCTTTAGGTCTCCTCCCGGTTGGACGTGCCCGGAAAACCTCACTAGGGAGGCATCCAGGAGGCGTCCTGACCAGATGCCCAAGCCACCTCAACTGTCTCCTCTCCATGTGGAGGAGTAGCGGGTCTACTCCGAGCCCCTCCCGAATGACCGAGCTTCCACGTCTCCTTATCTCTATGGCTTCCTTTATCCATCTGAACAACAGAAATACAAAAGATGGATAAAGGAAGCCATAGAGATAAGGAGACGTGGATGTGGGACCATGAACAGAGACGATGGGGTTTACACGTTGGATCGCGCATGGGACTGCATCATCGGAGAGGATAAACAGAGTAGGAAGAGACGCCACCATCAGCGTCAGCTCTGAGGAAGTTTTGCAGTCGGCAAACAAAACTGTCAGCAAGGTAAAAAACCTTTTCTGTGTTATAAAAAGAACTAAAAATGGAATTAGAAACTGGACACAGAAAGAACATTTTGGTCCTATGGCGTGCTGTCAGAACATTCCTAACACACCACACACAGAAGGAAAATCTGATAGGATTATCTTTGGGTGCTTAAGATTGCCAGAAAAAGAGAATCGGGCCACAAATCTGCAAGATTAACTTGTGTATAAAAAAAGAGTTGTTTAGGGTGAGAAGAAGACAAACTGGGTCAGAAATCCAAAGAGGGAAGAGAACCGAGCAGAGACAGAGTGAAAATAGCTGTCTGGGTCCCCGAAGGTTGGTCAGTTATTATAAAGCCATTGTGGCCAGCGACTACGTTTATATAGATCCTTCTGAGTCACGCTCAATAAGCCAGCCCTTATGGGCCTGGCACCGCCAGCACCCACAGAAGGAAGAGGCAGAAGGGTAGGCAGGCACCTGGCTCACATCCTTAACCCACGGCCGCCGCCTCCTTCTCCTCTCCAGCACACAGGCACTAAACCCCAAAAGAGTCACAGGCACTATAGTTTCATTCACAAGCCTCTGCAGGGTGATTCCTGGCCAAACAGGGAAGGAAAAGCCAGGTGGGCGGAAGGGCAGGAGGACGGGAGCGTGCTGGAAGAACAAAGGGCAGCTGCATGACTGTAGGTCAGGCACAAAGGGGGTCATGGAGGGGGGAGGGTGAAAGGATGAACAGAAGAAAGAGAGAGTGAGACTCTGAGGGGTGTGATGAGTGGGTCAGTGCTGGTCCATGCATGACCTGAACTGGGATGCTGGTCCAGTTCATAAAAGTGATGCTAAGAATAAGTTTCTCTGGAGCGTGGTTGAGGGCCCGACGTTACGATTCTCAGCAGAAAATCTTATTTTGTGACTTTTTCT